ACATTCTCCTATCCCATTTCTATCTAAGGTACCAAGTACGTTGGTAGAAAAAGTTTTCGAGTAGGTTAATCTGGCAACCGTCAGTATGTACCTTGGCAATAACATGAGACGTATTCAGCTCAAACCCTATGCTGCTCAAAAGAGAAGGGATCACTTTTGGCTGGATGGTGGCTTCATTCAATCTTGTACACCATTACTTCTTGACTATTATTGTAAACTTTCATACATGGGATATTCTCTCATTTGGATTACCTTATACGTAAGAAGTATCTTTTAAAATACTCAGACCGCGCTTCATACATTACCAATCTTTACGTAAATGGATAACGATAGGAGGAAGCGTAATCAACATACCCATAAGCGCAGCAGGTAGAGGAACACTACTGGAAGAACTGCCACCAACTGTTGCCGCCGATTCTGCTTCATCAGTTCCCAGTAGTTTCAATGCCATCTCCCTTCGCCTCATTCTCTGTTTCTCCTCCAGCCGCACTTTTTCAGCATTCGCTTCATCCCACGATCCATCTTCCATGAGTCTCTGATCAGGCCGCAGTCGTGAGTCTGTTGGACAGAGATTGGGCTCATTCTCTGGTTTGTCATTCAGCTGCATGGCGAATTGGGTAAAGTTGTACATCTTTTCAGCCTCGGGTGGCAGTGGAGAGACACGCCAGAGTTGGATGGGTGGTCCTGTCTCTATCACATGTTTGTTGCTGCTCCCCGTGCTGTCCGTGATAACTGGGGCGTACTCAATGAACTCGTCCCAAGTGCCATTAATAATTCCGTGAACTTTACCAGTCCTATCTGTCACTGCGCCTGTCACCTGGAAAGGCCATGCAAACATTTAGATTGGGTTAGTTGTAGGATATATAGGCATCAAAAGAATTAAATAAGCTTCTAAACTAATGCAAACACTGTAAGTCACCAGGTGCGTTAAAAGTAAGCTTAGTTAAAAATCATGCAGACACACATAGTCGAAGATGAGCGCAGCGAATGGATGAAATGCAGGAAGAAGTGACCACTGACTAGATAGGGAGCTAAGCTTATCTCCTTGTCCCTTGCTAAGAGAAGGAATTGTGGCCATCGTGACGCATTCAATTTCTCTCACCCTATATTGTACTTGGTTCCTCTTTCGCCATTACAAACAACCTATATAATTTACCTCCTTCCGTGCTTATTCTACCTTTTTCATATGATATTCCTTAATGAAGACCAATTTAGGTAACGCTTCCTATATCAGTAGGCTTCTCATTAGGGTGTGAATTCAGCTGCAACAGAACCAATGCTTTGTTTAAACATATAACAATGGTAGGAAAATAGTAAAAGTTCTAAACACAACAATAAGGCCAATCTTAGGTAAAAATGACCTTAGCAGAAACACATCATCAAAATGTGGCATAGTTCTACCCAGTCCAGTAGTATTAAAACCTATATCTTACTACCGAGTACCAATGAAATAGCGAACAGCATGTACTTTCCAAAGGTTAGGAAATAGTGTTAGTTGCAAGAATGACACGTAGCCGGAAAAAATGTACTAATGCTAAGGAATGATAAGTTAAAAGATTACCTAATGCAAGTCTATTAAATGAAAATAAGGATAGATTTGGTCCGTTTTGATTGCTCTAAAAACGGCACGTCGTCTAAAAGTGGCTAAGGACATGTTGCTAATGCACTGCCCAATAAGTAACATCAAATTTCAAGTGGACAAAGTTGGAGATCTCGATCGCAATGCCAATCGGTTCTAGTGATCAGGGAACGGAATGACCAGCTGCACTGGTTGAACCAGACTAGGCTTCATGCATTTATCCACTGCCAAATACGGGCTTGGGAAAGCTTTGCAAAACGAAATTGAGCTATCGATAGAAGTTACTTTTAATTAATGCTTTGTCGGATTTAAATGAATGCTTCTTATAATCTAAATAGCAAATATGAAGAAGCTTTAAAATGATAAAAATAGAGGATAGTTGAAACGTGAAAGCATTTTCGGAGAATATCTTCAAAAAAATAAGTACAATCTGTATAAAGTGAATTAAATTTCATGTTAAAAAGAGCATAAAGCCATGACAACCCATAGGTAAGGAATAGAAGGGCTAAAATAAATCATGTTCAGCAAAGTACGCGCAATGAACACGATTAAAATGTATCTAAATGGTACTAATGGTAACTCCCCACCCCCAACTCTAAGTACCTCATCATCCTATCGACTAGAATCCCTACTTTGAAATGACAAATGGGGAAAGAAAACGCCTAGCATCAGCCAGCGGCTATTATGAAAAATCTGCAATCTACCGCACAAATTGTCCATTAAACTTTGATGAGAATCAATCTGGTGGCATCGGACAGGTCGGACATATAGGCTGACCACTAACATAAATTCAATAATTTAACAACTGACTAATTTCGAGATGGCAGGATGTGAATTTCCAATCAATAGATCGGCCCAGATGATTTGATTTGGGAAGTCTCGGGGTTATACAAATATAGTGGAGAGAACTTACCCTTCGAGGAACTTCACTGGAAAAGTATGAATATTGTTTGAAGGTGAGATGGCATTTATCACCAGTGGTATGATTGGTGATATCGATCTCTCCACTATTCTCAATCCACAGACGTCCCACAATGATGTTGTGCACCGTGAGGGGAATCTTAGTCCAAGTGTAGTGGTAGCCAGTCTTGCGGAAGACTAGGTGGCACACACCATTGACTTTGATCTGAAGGTAGCGTCCGCGGAATTTGGTGGAAATTGAGAAATCAAACCAGGTGTACCAGAGATCACTTTCACAGTGGAAGGCTGCTACAGGAGGGTGGTGACTCACCTAAAAATTGTATGAAGTCATGTTAGATATAACACAGCATAGCGACTAAATAATCCAGCCTTATAGCCAATATACAGAAAGAAGTAAGGCATTTCATTACGCTAAAAGCTCTATCTTGAATAAAAAGTATGCATCAAAGGAACTTCAGTAACTATTGTTAACATTGAGACTTGTATACCGATGAACTTCGAAGGGAGAGCAATTATCAATCACACTTTAACCTAGAGGTATACATATAGTAATGCTACCTCCGAGCGACTTCAATATAGTAATAGATAATTGTTGACAACAGATGATTTTGTAATTAGGCAGAAACATCCTTTTTCAAATAACAACACAAATTCAATTACCCAACTTGGAATTGTCACGGTAAAGACAAAAATGCGATGAGATTTCAAATGACTTCACATAAAGTGGATTTCAGCGACAGACACACAGTTGAGAAAAGTACCAAATCTATGGCTAGTGAAGGCTGGAGTAACCGACAAAAAACATTCCACGATATGGTTTCGCCTAGAGCTTTATTTTTAAAACAATTTTAAAGAAAGTGTTAAACCTAACAGGAAATTTTGCGAACTTCAAATACTGAAATATCGATGAGCGCATAAACAAAAATTTGCAATGAGGAGTGTGTAGGAGATGTTGTAATCATAGATTATTCATTTGATTAATATGAGATTTGTATCTTTTCAAACGACCATATCCACCTTTCAATTCACCGTAAATATAGATTAGACGCACAGGACGGTTAAAGGTGATTTCTGTATGAAATATCTACACTATGAAGGTAGAGCGCAAAGATGGTGAGTAGAATTTTATTCCTAATTTCACTGGATTTCATAGTAATCCTAGCCTAAATCAACTGTGTTAACTGCCATATTTCCGTTTAGATCCATGGAGATAGATACGTCGCTAGGGAAAAAAGCCTGAGACCTACATGAATTGGATAACACAGACGCACTTGAATAGATGAAAAGGTGGGATAGTATGTGGGCCCAAGAACCCATTCACGTGGAATCAATGAATTACATATCAAACAGGGTGGACTAAAGCTAGCCTACACAGAACAACCGATTGCATTGAGGCCAATGCCTCATTTTTTCAAGCAATTCTACATTCCACGTGGAATGAAGCTTACTCAAACAAACTCTTACAGCGATACGCACGCTTTGGAGTGCAGATTTTGAAAGGCGATTGGTAAGATAAGAGCGTCACTTATGTGGACTTGGATTCACCCAACCGCTTCCTAAATTCGTGAAATCTGGAATTGCAGTGAACTAATTAACTGAAGTAAACAATATAACCACACGGTGACTTTTATACAGCGAGTTTACGTGTGATTTTACGCGCGAGCAAAAATCACCAGAATTCCAAATCGTTAAATCATGCAGTGAAACGCGAGTAGAACGAATCACTTATAGGTCGTCATCAGCCGATGAAGAAAACCCGATTTTGAAACACTTGTTATTGCTTATAGACTTACGCTGCTTGTCACGTGTTTCATTCCATTAATTATTTCCCAGACGGTGCAGGTAACTTTCATGCGACCTTCAAAGCGCGTGTTGTGTCGCTGCTGTTAAAAATTATGGTCGATATCACCTGGTGCAGAGTAAAAGGTAATTATCTAGGCCCCAGAGGTGAAAGAGGAAACAGAAACTAAACCAGACTAGTTATTAACTGTCATAATTTTTTAACCTATTTAAACTATCAGAACTTGGAAGAGAAGATTGAATTGTTATTTAAATTACATGTCCAATATAGACTAATACGATTGGCCAGACATACCTTGATGACCGGAGATGCTAATGCCATGGAAGGGGCATAACGAAAACGCTAAAAGACTAATTAGCCCTTCATAATACAAAGTGGATAGCTCCGGTTTCAGTGTTACCCCCATAGCTCTATAACTGTTATCAAGGGTACACAATCGAGCAGAACGCAAAAAAACTTTTTGTAAAATATAATTCCTCGATTATTGGTATTTCATGAACGGAACTGGAAATGAGGCCCTCTCATTATTACAATACTAGACAGCAAGTAACCCAAGCATAAATTTGCAATTAAGCAAGGTTATATCTCTGCAAAGGAGCGATAGATTATACGAATAAAAACTCCCAAAGGTACATGGAGATGAAACACTAACCTGTTCGGCAACAGACCGCCAACCAAGATCATCCGTACGATCGCATTCATAAGTCTCATTGAGAAGTGGATTGAATGGTTTGGCCACTCGCAGAGCTGTACTTGCATAAGAGGATACTACAAAGGCTGACACATAAGCCAGTTGGTCTACAGGATTTGTGCATGCCGCTGCCCTGTCCAAAACGTAGGAGTACTCGAAGTTCTCTGAAAGACGTTGAAGCATTGATAAAGGTTCACTGAAGTTTACCTAGAAAGAAAATATAACAGAAGCAAATATTAGAATGTGTTACAATTTTAAAGTAACATTAACCAAGACAAAGGAATCCAAATTACATGTTCAATAAAAATAGGCATAAAAACACTTAGGCACTAGACCAGTTATTACATTAGGTTTAAAATAAAAGGATATGAGAGTGTGCAAGTTCTATTTAGTGAAAAGACAATATTTAGTTCAGCATATTTATCAGTGATCAGCAAAACAAAGCTCCAAGTGATTTCATCGGCCCATTGAAGTCTGTTTTTCAAGACCACTAATGTCAAAATTCAGTTTAAAAGTGGAAACTGGCAGCAATCCGTTTCATTTTATTACGACCTGTAAGCGATCGTTTATTTTACTCAAATAGAGTACTTAATAATTACAATTATATTTCAATTCAGCATTCGTTATTTTTTGATAATTGTAGAACAATCGAGCATCTGGCGCTATCTTATGCTAAGAAACACCGGCATAAATGTGAAGTAATGGGTAGGGCTTTTTTGAACAGAAGTCTTGCACTATTTTTTATCTCAAATTCGACCTCAGGAAATCAAGAGCGAGATGAAGGCTGTGAGCAAAGGAGAAGGAGGAGGAGGGAAGATGATATACGTACAGGCATGGGGATCTTGGTGAGCTCCTTGCCAATACAGTTGCTAAGAAAACTCCAGAGATTGAGACTGATGTTAGGCTTGGGCGGAATGCTGGTTCGTCGTACAACTGGCTTACGTATGGGAATTAGGCGCTTCTCTGGAGCAGGGCTATTCGGCCCCACATGGGACGACGAATTGGTTTCCTTTGGCGACCGTCTGAAAGGAAAAAAGAAAAAAAGTGACACCAACATGCAAAAGAAGTTCCCAAAAGGCTCTTAAATTGAGAATACAAAAAAGGGGTTGAAGAAGTGAATTATTATAATTTTAATAACATACAAAGCAAACTAATTTGAAGGTGAAATGAGCCACATCGTAACAGTCTTTCCTCAACTAGAAGTTTCTAATCCAACTCAGAGAAAAAAAATTCACTTAGTTTGAGCATACTCCAAATAGCAGTTAAAAAAAATACATTTAAGACCTTCTGACTGGAGTATCAAGAATAACCAGGCCGGTTATCTATACAGTTGGTAGATATAAATTGATAAAGATTCCATCTATATGCGATACGATGGACAAAAAACATGATTCTATGTACTTAAAATAACAAGCAGTCAATTAGTGATTAGGGTCCTAAAATCAAATAAACTAAATGTGTAACTTCGTGCCCCCACATGAAATGAAATCGATCTATGATGCTGAAAATTCGTTCCTAGATTTGCACAACAAAACGAAACCTCTCTGCCAAATAGCAAAGAACACAAAAATGAAAAAAACCAAATAGATAAACACAGAATAAAATAAAAAGAAGAAAGATGCCCTAAATCATAACAGAATATACAAATGATTGATAAAAAACGCGCTTACTTAGACTTGATACGATACCTGTGTCGCGGCATGTGCGGGAGACCAAGGTAAGCACTCCTTTATACACGTTAAATCACGCCGAAGAACCATGGGACTACTTTCTCATCTGATTAGTTTATTCAACATTGAATATGCAATGAATACTTGCATGAACATGAAACAAGCATCATGTGCTGACATAAAGCTGATTATCTAAATCGAACCCGATATTGGTTCGAGACCCATCAGTGTCCACTCTGATTATAGTCGTTATTGAAGAGTTTCAGACAAGAGCATCAAGATAATTGCTCTCTCCCTCTCTCCTAATGTGGTGAAAGGGGCTTGGCAATTATTCTAGCAAGAAAATGACTAGGTAGTTAATAAGTAGTATATTCCTCGCTTCATTACGTTTCACCATCACTTAAAGGTATAAACAATCTAAGCACCATCCACTTATGGCTGATAATAATTGATTAAGAGAGGAAGAATTCTAATGCACAATCTTAGGTAGAGTATCTTCCAGGTACCCCTTTGAAGGAAAAGTCGAATGCCACCATCTGTCTACGGATCAGCTTTAAAAAGTGAAGTTGGTCATATCATCACAATAGAATATCGAAGTCTTGCTTTCTTTTTCGACAAAAAAAGCACAATGACCACTATTATTGCCTAATCTCAAGCATCAAGGACGACCAAATGGGAGTTTTTTTAAATAGAGGGGGTTCAAGAGACGGTTCGCTTTGTTTTCCGTCGGTAAAATACTTGAAAAGAGGTTTGATAACTACTATTGCACATACAAACATTTTAATGACCAACAATATTGGTACGAACATGAATTTCTAAATTGTCACAACGTTCTCTCCATAAAAGATGAGCATTAGAAAGTGCTTTCACTGTGTACCGGTGTAGCTGTCTAAATGAATGCATACTAAATAGGAAATTCATAGATAAGTTCTCCTCGATGCACACCCAATGCTGACAGAAGGTGAAATACAAGGTTCACGTCAGACGTACTCCCGGACGCTACTCCCAAAAAGCTAGATACTTTTCCCAATGCTGGAAATTACTAATGTGAGAACAAAAGTGAACTCACCCAGCCTTTCCCCAGGCATGTTTTTGTATCACGTGAGCCCGATTTTCTCGTTGTCCTTTTCCTTGATCATCCGTATCTGAGTCTCCAATATCTGACTCATATTCTATACCTGCATCCGCTCCAACAGGAACGTCAGAAGAGGGAGATTGTCTAGCATCCACCATCCCCTCTTTTTCGGAGTCTCCTTGAGATAGGGGGCCAGAATAGGGACGAGGATTCGTGGAAGGCAGAATGACCTCGAATTCATCTGCGCCAGCGTCCTCGGCCACATCGTAGAAATTTTCCTCTTCGTCTTCGGAGACTATAGTGCTGGAGACCCCTTGGGGACCGCTTTTACCTTCATTAGTAGTAGGTCTCATGGAACTATTAAGATTGGAGGATAATGTTGCAGCCCTCAAACGGCTAGCTTCTACTGAGGTGCGGTGAACTGGTACAGCTTGACCGGGAATTCCCCATGATCCTACCATTATGAAAATCAGAATCTCAGAAATCGAGTATATTAGATTACTTAAATAAAAAACTAATAACTATAGAGTTTAAAACTAAGTATTATTTCTAAAGACACAGTTGTGGAATTACGTGTTAAAAGTAGGCCAATCAGGGGTCTTTTAAATGAAGCATTTTAAAAAAAGCATTTCCTTGAAGTAAGATCTTTTCTATATATCTCTCATTTGCTTTGCTAAAACTATAAGCCAATGAACTGGATGTAAAAAATTGCCTTCTTAACCAATGAAAAAAAAGAAATTTGGCGGTATTGCCTATCCCTCTTGATTAAAAAACGAGCTCAAAGCACTGAACATCATATCCTGAAAGTTTAATTGTGGAAAGTGAAAAATAAACTTTTAACAAATGCTGTAAAATCCGAACCAGAAGACTCTGTGATATCTTCAAGTGCTGCTCTCAGTATCATTTTAGCTCCTCTCGTCTCCATCATTAGTTGAAATTTCTCAGTTAACCGATTTCAGTTGACTCCCCCCTTCGATGGAAAATGTACAAGTTATTTATTTTGTCATGACTTACAACCACAATAATTGTGCTACCATAGAGGTGTGTCGTGTTTTCTAATTTGTTATAAGCTGTTTACTTGCACCTGTCAGATACAAAAAATGAGAACCGCAAAATTCTTAAATTAGTCTTCCAAGCGCGCCCCTAAAAGTTCACAAGATCAGTCGAGAGAAAGAGGCGGGGATGATTTTACCAAATAAAGAAGTTCAAAGAAATTAAGGATTAATTTCATAATCTGTCTTTGATAAACTACAACTTGAAAAAGAGAAGAAAGGTAAGCTTGAGGCTCTTCGATTTAGAGGATACAATTCAATAATTCATTTGCTGATTACCATTAACCAAAACCACTATTAATCACAATAACTTAATTGATTCACTTGGTCGAAATGAGCTATTTATCTCGCTTAACCAGAGACTCCAATACTTTAAAGGGGGCTCAATTAAATTCCACTTCATTGGCTTCTCAAGTCCAATCTTCAATTGCATCTGATTGATATACGCTTTATTGAGGTAGTAAAGTACAGACGAAGTGGAAGATAGATGCCAAAATAGGGATGCTGAGTACTGAAGCCAATGCAAAGTCAGCAAGTCTATTGAAGGACGATTAGCAATACATAAGCGGCGCAAAAACTAAGCATGCCTTAAACGGCTTTAAGACATAAGTTCCAACAAGTTAAAAAGAATGAGTAAAAATAGTCCACACTATGAATGACAGTTGCCACACGTATGATATTGATTTGCTTTAAGTAGATACTGGCACAGTTGCAGATACCAACAGACAAAAATAATATTGCCGATTTGACTGCGCACTGAACATTTACTAAGCGGTAAAGAGAACATGGACAGGCAACGCCGAACCAGTAAAATTCACGTTCACGATGTAAATGTAATTATTTTGTTCTAGCACAGATTGAGAAGAAAAACATTTTTATTCAACGCGTGCAATTTAGCCTATTGATTAGTTAAAGGTAGGGGGGGGGGAGCGGGGGTGGGGGTGGGGTGGTTAATGCAATCCACAAGCACAGCAAATTTACACCAAACCAGAGGTGGATTGTAAACAGGGGAAAAACTACAAATTCAAAGCATAATTTAGAGCAGGTAATATAGAAGGCTGGGTATAACTACTATGACCTTATTTAATAATAGTACTAACAGGAGCGACAATAGAACGAACCTTGAAAGTTTAACTGAATAGCTTTTCCACTTAGATATACACCTAGTAAATAGACAAAAAAGAGTATACAGTCTACACAAAGCTACACACAATTGGAGCTTAAGTTACATTATTCCAGTTCATTGAATTCAAATCGATATAATAGTGAGTCTGACTGGAATAAATCTAATAACTTGCATTAATGACACACATCTTGAATTACAATGACTTCAAGAGAATCAACCATATCCAACAATTAGCGTCTCCACAAAAAACTTAGTACTGAAGAGCAATTAACGGGATTTGGGTTGTTGAATATGACCGTTAATTAAAAGACTTTTTTATCGAATAAAAATCTCTTCAAATAATGAATAAGAAGCAAATTTGCTACATTATAGTTTATTGACAAATTAAACCACTGTTGAACTAGAAGACAATTTTCAAATTACTCTTTTCAATAAAAGACGGAATAGTTTAAGGGGTTCTATGGTTAGGCAAGCAGGAATCATTTCTAAGAAGCGGAAACAAATAAAATAAACTGCATATTTTCAGGAAATTCAGAACCATATGACTGCTACTAGGCAGGGAATAAACACGGAATTACTTCAAATAAAGTACGATAATTCAGTACTAGCCATCATACAGGGCGAAATTTTAAGGGCAAAAAATCAAGGAGATAAGCAACTAGCAATCGGTCGATCGGTTCGAAACACATGATATTCTAAGACGCAAATTCAATTAATATGCGTATGTTAGGAGGAGAGCCCGTTTTAATAAATTTAAAGAGTGTTATGACCACATTATTGCCTAAAAGTCAATATACGGGGAAACGAATAGAGATCTTATTGTTCGCAGAATAAAAAGAAATTCGCCAAAAATACCAATAAAATGGATGAGATAGAAAACGAATAATAATAATGATTGATAATTTTAACAAAACTTAAATCTAATTTCCGTAACAATTAGCCAATATAGGCAAGTACAATAACCAGAATTTTGGAGGTGATCAGCTTAACCATCGAATAGATCTCCTGATATAAGCCAAGAAACAATCTACACATATGCGACTCCCATAGAAATGGAGAGCATTTCAGTGATCCAGTAGCATAAATCTGATTGAAAGTATCTCCGACTGATAATCAAATCCTAACCACTCATGGACATTCTTCAAAAATCTTAGGTTCAATAATAACTTCGATCGCTGAAGATTACTAGACACCTCAATCGATTACCACCGTAAACCATAGCCTGAATACATCACGAAGACAAAGACCCCACTAATTTACCAATATATACCGTTAAGGGACAATAACATTAAATAATAAAGGCTTTCTCCAAACTGATCATATATGAGGATCCTTGTTCTAACTCAATAATGTAAGCCGATATAATAATGTAGTCTTAACAACGCAATACATTTAGGTTGAAAAAAGACTTATGTTTATAGCAACCAAAGCAAACAAAACGAAGATGAGAATAGTGCAAAGCTGTTTATTACACAGCCTAGTTAAATCCTACAGCACATTCTCCGGCAGGAAGATTGCATAACGAAAGCAGCAAAACAAATCCATAAGCTCTCTGTTTCATTTTACATTAAAAGGTGATTTAAAATGAACGAGGCTAAACAACTGCCATAAGCATCAGCACAAAGAAAAATACGAAAAATTTTTGAACAATTTATAGAACACAATAAACAACGAATAACTGATCAATATCTCGGTAAAATAGGTAAAAAATAAAAAGAAAAGCTAAAAATAAATATAACGCTTACCTGGGTTCATTGACTTGCTTCGTGCTTGAGATTCGAGTTTATTGATCTGCTTGGCCAACTGTTCAACCATTTGTTCTAGACGTGCACATCGATCTACTTGAACATTGAATATCTTCCGCCAACGGCGCGTTTGTGATCGAGCATACCCGAGGAAATCAGAGCAGGACTAAAGTTGAACAGAAAATTATAATAATAGATAAAATGAATAATCATACTTAATAAAAAGGATATGAATTTATACTCACATTAACCATACCTAAACTGGCAACTTTATAAATAGCAGCTTTATCTCGAATAATATTAGTCTTTTCTAAAAACTCAGGTGGAACATTTGAGCCTTCAAGATCATTAATGACTTTTTGCAAATCATCAGCCTTTTGTTTGAGAGTATCCTGATAGTGCTGGAGATCAATAATTCGTCTCTCAAAATTTGCAATTGAGCCGTCGACAAGTCTCGCAGCGTCTTCTGGCATCAATGCTGGAGCTGACCAGGCTAAATCACTTTCATCACCATCCGCTTCTTCCCATTCATCAGAATCATCCCCTAAATATTGAAAGTTAATAATCGAAATAATTCTAGCGCCTTTAGAGCTAATATACACACCTGATTTTCCTAAAGCAAGTGCATTCGATCTAGCAAGAGTGAGAGCAGCCATCCACTTCTTGTGTTCTGCCTCATTCGCAGCCTTGAGATGGAAAGTCTGAGTGCTGCTGTTTGAAATCACCAAAGTCAAATGTCCTGTAGCGACTATCTTGGCATTGGCCAAATTTATTGTTCCTCTACATGTATGGGTGACTTCGGCTTGATTTCTACTAAATTAGCTTTCCGTAAGTAGACTTACCGATAGTATGAAAGTAGACCATTTTGCAAGACAAACCAACGTTTTTGATAACCTTTCAGATAATTAGTCCACTTAAGGAGATGGCCCCTAAAATTAACATAAGTTTCGTCAGTCATTTGATGAACGACTTTGCGTTGATTGGCTGACTAAATTCTTTGAAATTTTGCCTAAAACGTAAGCAGATTATACGTAAATATGTGTCACAAAATTAGTTTCAAAAGCCAAGTAATTAAAAATAGATGGCAATTAAATATATTTCTATATTTTTAAATGTGTTCACCTAAGCTATGCTTGTTTTTGATAAATAATAAATTGTTACATTTCATATTATTTACAAATTCAGTCATAGTTAGCCTAATCACGTGAATGAATAATTACTATAGCATTTACGCCTTGATTAATGGTTACCAAAGTCATTTCGAACTTTTTATCAGTTATTCTTATATGCCATACTACTACCCAGAAAATATTGTTTACTAATATTAATTGCAAAGCAGTCTTTATGTCCCCTTTCCATTTATTCGGTTCCTGATATATATATATATATTTGTTCATTTGTAAATCAAGTACTGATTTATTTATACGGCACAGTTCATTCATTTCGTTTCAATTTCTTTTAGTCCTCTCGCAAAGGAAAGTACTTAGAGAGTTGGGAAGCAATATGGCAACAACCCAGGTAGGACCAGCCTAAAAATCTATTCATTCAAACGGCATTCCGAAATATACAGCTAATATAACCATTGCGATCGCAAAATTCCGTTATATGGTACCTATACACTGATATTTAGACATTATTTCCAATTCAATACTCTCCATTTCTCCACGAATTTCGAGTAAAGCCCCGTTATTTCTGTTATGGGAACAAGTCTTATCTACCTTCGGTGATTCACCTTGAGCCAAAATACTCATGGCTTACGTAAATTTAGCATTCCAATCAGGAGAAGAAACTCGGTCAGAAACTGCATGATTTAATTGCCCTGGAAGAACTTCAATAGACTGGTTTTAGTCGAAATAACTGTCATCAGCACCCATCGCAGACACAAACCGACTCCATGATTGAGGGCGAAAAATTCGATTAACTGTGATGATTTTCGAGGAAATCTGCTGTGAAATCTTATCAAATTGCTATGTTGCTTTCCTCTAGAAAAACAACCTAGTACTCTGCTTTGTAACTCACCAGGTCGTATTGTATTCTTTTCCAATTGTTAAGAGAACATTGAGCAAAAAACACAATTTCTTTATTTTCGGATAGACAGCACGAGTTAGCAAAAAAATAAGATATTCACTTCATTGTTCTAGATGAATTTCAGACATCCATTCTCATTGCCTTCACGTATATAATGAAAAATTGGCTTAAGCTTTTAAAACAAGCGTGATAAATGTGAACACTTGACACATCTGAAAAGCGAAACGCTATTCATATATTCTTCTAGTATAAAGGTAATTCTTCATTCACTGATCCAGTTTCGACGGAAAAACCGTACACAGTTTATGAACAAGAAAAGCATCAGGAAGCACTATGTTTTATTATTGATAGCATGATAATTAAATGAATACAAAAAATTCCGTATACACATGACAGCGTGAAATAATAAAACCCGTCCAAAAGCAAACTACACCTCAACGCCTGGAGGAAGAAATCCATTCTCATCGGCTTTTTTAAGCAAATCGCAGAACAACGGGCTCTCCAACTAAAAAATGGGGCGAAAGATATGGAGTACATGTCTTTATGAATTGTCGTATAATAAAGTGACTGAAACCAACTTACACTTATTGAATACTGGCAAGTAGATGGTTCGAGGAAGGAGAGCTGAACGTTTGTAATGATCTTCCTTTGACAACTAAGATGCAAAAATTAAATTTACACCAACGCACACAAAAGATGGAATATGTTCTTTAAAACTAAAAGCTTACACGAATGATAACTTGACAGATCGCGGCGATTTTATATCATCACAATAGTCTCCATCACCATAGAACTGCGTTAGTTTACTGAAACGCAACGGAGGTAAGAGAGAGATTGTGTGTATGTGCAGAAATTCGTCTTTGCTTAGAGTGAGGAAAACTTACAATCGATTTTCGAGAGGAAGCTGGGGTCTTCTAAGTGAGCTTTGTTTGACCCAATTTAGATGAGCATCCGCATTCCATTTTCCCAAAATAATGACATTTCGGTCACCGGTTTCTGGGTCCTTTGAAAAAAAAGAATTAATATGTAATTGAGGAAATGTTTAAAACGTAGAAGTCTGTAACGCATTGAGAGCTTCATGCAAACACACAAGGAAAACACAGAGGCAAGACTGCTTAGTACGATCACCCTCATTACAACACCTTGGGTTGACGAACGAAATGTACTCTCACCTAAATGGGCTGTTAATTAAGCCCAGCTGACCGTTTTACTAGACTACGTGAAATTGTATAATCTGCATTCATGATTCGATCACGATTTAACTCACTGTACAACATAGCCGGCTATTGCAAGTCTTCATACATTAACGTTTAAACTAACAGAGTGTATATATATATTCAAATAAGTTAAGATAGAAATCCAACAATATGTACAATCGAAATACCCTCTCACCTCATGATATTGAGTAATGCGACTTCCGTAGCAGACTTCATGTCGCCACCAACCGGCTCCACCTGTGAGACAGGTCTCGCCTGCCAGGAAAGATTGAAGTTCTCGGCGCTGAGATTGATATAATTCCTTCACCGCTTGCCTACCCACAATTGGGGACTGGATAGGTGGTGGTGGCAGAGGTGAAGCCCCTTCCTGCTCTCCTTCTGCGATTTCGTCATTCTAAAATAAGCAAAAAAACAAGATTTGCAATTCAAACATATAAAACTTAATAGTATGCGGATATTTCAAAGAGCATATTCGCTATTTTTAATTCGAAAATGAATATTTAGGCGCTAAACAACAGCACTAAAGCTACAATTCAACCCATTAGCACTAAAGTACGATGTATAAGAAATGAGTAATTTAAGCTCAAGTCTACCACTCATTAAATAGGGGATTTCGCAGTTATACCCAACAGCTTTGAAAGAGGAGAAGCCTTCATAATCGAATGATTAAGTCAAAGTAAGCACATTTAGCATAACATAAAAATAACTAAATTAGCAATAGATTGATCTATACTAACCGCCATCGTTCCCCAAGATTAACTAACGTCTCTAAAACGCTAAAAAAGTGACTAACGTCACCACCAAATCCTTTACACTCGGTAAATTGTAGATATAAATGATATTACAAAAAGGGGGGGGGGGTGTGCGATAGACTTACCTCCACGTGGAGCACCCTGGGCAACGTATATTCATACGGCAAAAAAGTCTATCAACCAGCAGTTGACTTCTGACTTCAAACTACCATCACCCCACTGCGGGCCATATTCGACCCCTTCCACAGTACTCATCTTACCTTTTTCTCTACCTTTGTGTCTGTCTGCTTCTTTTACATCTGTGAATCGCTCTTCTGTTTCCCACCCCTCGACTTTCTTCTACTTTGATGAACCTTCCCTCTGTGAAGCCCGAAGTCAGCTAAATGGCTAATGATAGCTATCAAAACGCCTGCCATTTGAAATAAATAAATAAATATTACAAAAAGGGTAGAATTCGGCTTACTTGTTGAGTTTCGAGAGGATCCACGGTTCTAACACGATAAACAACATTTCCCTGATTGTCAATCCTTTCAACCTGCAATATGGAAGAAAAATAATACTGAAAAGTTTTGAAATAGGAAAAAAAACAAAAAGCATAAAAAGGTAAAAAATACTTTCATTCATTACCAAGTTTTATGGTTACAAATAAAAACCACATTTTATTCATTAATTACACCTTTTAATAACTGTAATTACCAACCAACTGCTC